TAACTTGTTAAAAGGTTTATTTTAGTTCACATTTTTGAAGGCTTCTGTAACAATCTTCATTATTTTAAATCAGGTAGTATTAATAACATCCATCAAGTTTATACCATATTTTACTTTTCTTGTCATTCTGGAAAAAAATACCAACAGATTACAATAGCAAAACATCTATTCTTCCATGGAATGTATGTGTTAAAATTAAATATCTGGGAGTCAAATATAAAAATGTGGAACTCACATTTAGAAGGTATTATTCAACACCATAACCACATTAGTAGTCATTGAATGTCGTCACAGTTACAACAATGTGTCAGGCACTATTTTAACAGGGACCAAAGTTTTACCCAGAGGGATAGCAAGGTACTCTTCTGTGATATGTCTTAAGAAAAACTTTTTGTTTTATTTTTTTTAGCATGATTGTGTGCAGCAAGTGAACTAGAAAGTGTAGTGATTGATTCAGATTGCCACAGCTCATGACCCAGGTCTCCTTACTTCAGTTACTGGTGTTATCAAGAAATATCAAGTCACACAGAACTTCATTCAGGTTCAAGAGAATGGTTTCTTATTTCATGGGTGAAGAGTGATTGCCCAGGAAAGGATTGGTGGAAACATTTGAGGTTTGGAAAGATTCTGAAGCATAAATGGCTATTCATTAGCTGTGGGATTCCTAAAAGTAGCTCTGGTTGGACATCTATTCTACTGTTGAGTGACTGATACGGGATTTTGCTCTGTGGTAGTGACCCTGCTGTCTCTGGATTACAGCCATGTACCATCACACCTGGCCAGGATACTCTACTATTTTAAAGTACAAAGGAGCTAGCTCTAAGTGATGTCCCCTAGACATGACATTTCCTTTGTATTTCCAACCTAACTCTTTCCGGGCAGCTATAAGGAAAGTAATGAGTCAGCTTATCAAATGGGTCTTTAGTCCAGCTCATCCTTTTTGCTTGATCAGATCTAAGGAATTATTCAAATACAGGGCATGCTGAAGTCTCGGAAGTTATGCTCTTCATTGAACCAAGGGCAGCATAAAAACAGACAACATCATTCTTAAAATAATTTTAGTAATCTAGATCCAGTTTTCCAGTGATATAAAGCTCAATAAAAAAGCATGTTAGCAATACACAAGCCTGGTGGTGGCTCATGCCTGTAATCCAGCACTTGGGAGGTAAAGGCAGGTGGATCTCTGTGTTCGAGGCCAATTGTATTTGGTTGCTTGGCACTTTTGGAACCCTAAACCCTCTCTTCCTTGTCCTGTGATGACAAAGAGAACATAAAGAGCACATTGGAAAGCATTCTGACCACGTGAACATCTTGTTCAAGCTTACATACAGTGAACCATTCCATGTTCTGAAATTACTAGCCCCATGGATAGGGAGTGTCAATCAGATGCAAGTTTATTATACACTAGGTAGATTTCTGCTCACATAAAAAATTCTAATGACTTAAAATATTTGGTAACTATCTACACCATCTAGTAGTATAAATTTGAATAAGATTAAATAAATTTAAATATAGTAATATTAATATAAAATAAAGTATGTCTTTTATTTTTTAAAGACAGGGTCTCAACATGTAACTTTGGCTGTCCTGGAATTTGATCTGTAGACTAGGCTGACCTCAAATTCAGAGTGAGTTCTAGGACAGCCAGGACTGTTACACAGAGAAACCCTGTCTTGAAGAAAAAAAAAAAAAAAAAAAAAAAAAAACTAAAGAAAAACAGAAACCCAGGCAAAATATTTTTGCCTAGATCAAATATTGACTGTTTTGGCATTATCACACCCTCCACAATACATAAGAAATAGGTCAATTATATGTATATATACATACATAAACACACACATACACATACATAACATATAATACATATATATGCTAGATTTGGGGTTAAAGGGTATACATGTTTGGCAGTCTTATTTTTGGTTTTTCAAGAAAGGGTTTTTCTGTGCAACAGCTCTGACTACCCAGGAACTCACTTTGTAGACCAGACTTGGACTAGAACAAAGAGATCCACCTGCCTCTACCTCCTGAGTGCTAGGATTAAAAGTGTATGTCACCATGCCATATTTATCACTCACTGTTGATACCTCCTCTATAAGGGTTGGGGTGTGGGGAAATACCTCCTCTGTAAAGTAAAAGCAATTGAGCCCAGCTTTACTCCTGCAAGTATCAGCTTTTGGGGGCCCCACCTTTCCATTTGTTCTTTCAGCTTCCTAATTCTTTTTTCTCATTACAGATGGTTGTGAGCCACCATGTGGGTGCTGGGAATTGAACTCAGGACCTCTGGAAAAATAGCCAGTGCTCTTAAGCTCTGAGCCATCTCTCCAGCACCCAGCTTCATAATTCTATTCTGAGTATAGAACACACCTATCCTTCAGACCAGACTTTGGTCTTTATCCAGCATTACTATTATGAAAGGTGTCCACTGAGAATAAAATCACACTTTAAATTTCAATTGTTTAACTTGACAAGTAGACCACAGGTAAAACTGTTAGATATTCAGCATTTTAGGTCATGCCATTTTGGATGTGATGGAAGATTATAATGTACGATTTAGAATTGTAACAGTAAAAGTAGACTGCTTTGTACGGGAAGGGGCAGTTTGAATGCATTCCCACAAAATAGCCTGGGGATATAAAAATATTGACAATATAAATATTGAAAGCTTTCATAATGACATAATTTATATTCTCTTCATAAGCACTATTAAAAATACACAAACCTAGAAAATATACAAGTGTTAATATTTTAAAATACAATCAAATACCTACTTCACAGGTTCACAAAAACATTTCCAGATGTAACTTTTTGATTGGATTAATTTTCTAAGGGCTTTCTTCTCTATTGTTTATGCTTTAGAGAAACAGTGGTTCAAGGTAGAAGGACAGAGGGCAATGCCAAACAAGGACTCACCTGGGTCCACGAAAACACATACCAACTTTTGGTACCTCCACACAGAAGTAGAAGGACAGAACACAAGAAAAGAAATTCTCATCAACTGTAAATATAATGTCCAGAAGCAGCTGCATCAGCAATACACTTGTACAATGCTTTCTGTACTCTGCTTGATTTTCAAAATAATTCCATAAAATTCAATAGATGAGTCAATAGGCTCAATTTATAAGCCAGAAAAAGGATGCTCAAGAGATCATAGGACATTCTTATGGTCAAATACTAACTAGTAGAGCAAAGGCAAGCTTAGAGCTACGTTCTCTGACTTCTTGCTTAATATTTTCTACACTATGCCATTTTGGTTTTCAAAGAAAGTTACTATAGTTTAAGCATAAGAGTCTTACAATTTCAGAAAAGGCATTTTCATTGGGTAATTAGATACCCTTCTGTGATTTATAGCATAGAACAGATACACATGTTATAAAATATTTTGACACTGTGATCAAAATGTCCCTTCCATGCGTGTTCAAGTTTTAACTTACTAGTTAAAAACTAAGCATGGTAAGCTGCATGTCTTTTATCCCAGCACTCAGAGGCAGAGGCAGGCAGACCTCTGACTTCAAATCCAGCCTATCTACATATCAAGTTCGAGGCCAACAAGGGCAACCAGAGTGAAACCTTCTCTCACCCTCCCTGCCAAAAGAAACGAAGGATCTGGGCATGTTGGCCCATACACAGCACTCGGGAGACAGAGACCAGTGCATCTGAGCTATATAGCAAAACTCTCTGCAAAGAAGAAAAAAAATACTAGTTTAAAAAATACTGAACTAAGACATCATTTTATTCATTTAACTGAGTATTTTATCTCCCCTTCTATTGACTAATGGGACTGTAAAATTAAATGTAAAATGAAATGTGAATGCTAAATCGAGCAGCTAACACCATTTTTCTTGTTCAGAACATCTTGCCCACTTTTCTTTTACTGGGAATAGGATAATTTTGGAAATTTTAAAAAAATACTGTATGTATGTATATTGATAATTTTGACAATAGTTTGAGGTAAACTGCATTTTTTTTTCTTTGAAAATGTTACTATTTTTTTCTTGGCTAAATTTGTGTTTGTTTTTCTTGGCTAAATTTGGACAGTGTACTATAACATTAAAGTACTTGCTACTGAGTGATGCTTTATTTTTTTTCCCTTGTCGATATTTGCTTAAAATATCTCCTCTGAACATTTATATACTTTATCAAAAGTGAAGATTCCAGGGCCAATTAGTCCAGGAATGGAAAAAAACCTTACTACATTCTAAGAATGGCAAATCTGGCACTTTGAAAACTTTTATTTTATTCCTAGTTAGTACTTCTGAGACTGCTTACAAGTACTTTGCCTTTCCCCCCTCCAGTGTTGATGCTGGGGACTGAATCAGAAACTAAGGAAACATTCCACCACTGAGCTATGGCCCCAGCCTGCAAGGTGTGCCTTATGCATTTTCCACACTATTTAGTCCATGCCCCTACACTCTCTCATTCGTGTTTGTGTATGCATATGTATGATGACATGCATATTGAGGTCAGGGGACAATTCAAGGGAAGTGGGTTCTTTCCTTCTACCATGAGGTTACAGAGATCAAACTCAAGTCTACATATTTGGTAGCAAGCTCCTTACCCACGGAGCCATCTCCACTGGTGCTTCAAGTGCACTTTATAATTCAATACTAATTAACTCAGGAGAATATAGTCCTGATACATTCTTTTCAACCAGACTGTGTATATACAAAAAAAATCCATTTTCAACTGTCAAGAAAGATGAATAATACTGACATATATGGACACTAAGGTTAGCTATATGCTAAGAAAGTGAGAGTGGATGTAATTTTGTAGACAGTGGTTTCAGGAAAAAGGTTGTCTGCTTTCCCCCATAACTTAGCATACTACTCTATCAGTTAGTGTAACTGGTGAGCACAGAGCCCTGTATCCAACAGCTTATGATGGTGATACCGTGGGTCTGGATGTTTTGTAGGTGTTCACTCCATGTGCCGTTCGGCTGTAAATGTTGACATTTATCCAGAAGCATCGTGGCCTGTCTGTGACAGTTCTTTGCCATGTTGAAGTCAGCAGAAGCACTCTCTCCTGGGCTTTACTGCTTCCTCAGAAGAATGCACAGTATTCGGAACAAAACCACTTTTAACACCTTCCCAGCCATCCTGAATACAAATCTCTCCCTTCTTAATAAGTTCATAGATGTCTCTTGTCAAGATTGTGAAGGATTCCTCAACATTTGTAGCGTCTTTTGCTGAGGTTTCTATATACTTCATTCCACAGTCTGTTGATAACTTCTCAGCTTCTTCCCTTGACACCTGGCGTTGTGAAGCTAAGTCACATTTATGTCCCACCAGTAGAAATATAATATGAAAAGGCTGTACATGCATTTTCGCTTCTTCTAGCCAATCTTTTACATGTTCAAAAGACCGTCGGTTAGTAATGTCAAATACTAAAAATCCACCAACAGAGTTGCGGTAATAGGATCGAGTTATTGATCTGAAAAATAAAAAAGTTGTGTAAGGACAATACTCCTTTCTCCTCCTTTGAATAATGAAACACCAAAACCAAATTTGAAGATAACTTAATGTCACTTAAATAGAATTTATAAATCCAACATTAAAGTATGTTAGGTGAACAAAAATATTCTGAGATTAACACATATGCCCATTTCATATACAGACAGAATATCGAAGCTACTTTTCTTAGACACATAAGAACTTTTGTAGTATATCATCTTGCAGTGTCTTATGAGGTTTTTTTTTTAAGTATTTGTAGAAGAGTTATTACAAAATTGGGTTAAAAACATAGATAAATAGAGAACTAGGGATGTAACTCCATAGTAGAGTGCCTAGCATGCAGGAAGCCCTGAGTTCAATCCCCAGTACCAAATATGGCATGTATGGTGGCACACTCCTGTAACCCCTTTGACAGAGGGGTGAAGGTAAGAGAATGAGAGTTCAAGGTTGAATTGAGAAGCTAACTCAGTTAGAAAAGCATTTGCCATGAAGACTTGAAGACCTGTGTTTGGTCCCTAGAACTCATAGAAAAAAGCCTGTGTGGTGTGATGGCTCAAAATTGTAAGCCTAGCACTGGGGAGGCAGAAGCAGAGACAGGCAGACCCCTGGGGCTTGTTGGCTGGACATCTAGTATATTGGGTGAGTTCTAGGCCATTGAGAGATTGGTTTAAAACAAACAAACAAACAAACAAACAAAAACCAAGATAGACAATAAAAGAGGAGCACTACCTGAGATTGACTTCAGGCCTCCAAACTCATCACACACATGTGCTTGAGCACCCACCCACACACACACACACACACAACTCAAGTCTTCTTTACCTACACAATGAGATTGAGACCAGCCTAGGATCCTTGAGACAGTCAAAAACAACTCAAAACACAAAACAAACAAATGGAGATGTGTAAAGGGGGAGAGTCATACAGCAACGCACACTTAACGATCTTTCCTGTCCTGTAGTTCACCAAAGCTCTGTTCTAACAGCTTAGGAAAGAAAACTGTTGCATGTTCATTTCATCTTTTCCTACCTGGATGTCATTTACCCCTTCTCTATCTTTCACACTCCCGTTTCTCCTTCAGTAGTTCAAGAGAGGTATTATCTGAGAAGCCTTCCCCATCACCGACTCCTTTCTCAAATGATTCCATTGAAAGGGTAGCCCACTGCTAGTACACTTGCATCAGTTTTTGTAATGTGCTGACTGGAAGTGTAGCGCAATCCATGGTTCCTTGAAGGTCAAATATGCTTGATACATGTGTCTTACATCATGTCGGCTGTAGATATCACAGAACATTTGCTATACAGGACTGACTAGTCAAAAGGGCAAAGGGAAGTGCTAAATGCCAAGGACCTCCCAAGTGTCAGAATCCAAGTTGTCAATGCTCCACACTAAACTCATCTACTTGCCCAAGGTACAGAGACCTCTGTGAAGGGGCAATGGAATGCCCTGGACACTTGCACTCGCTACACCACCCTCATTCCTAAAGCCACAGTAGTTCAGTGATCCAACATTATGCCTGCCTTTGCTTCTAGGGCAGGTGTTTTCAGTCAGTGAATACTTGTCTAGCACTCATGAAGTTCCAGGTTCAATACTTAGTACTGCCAGGAAAAATAGGACTTTGCTTTTTGAGTGTGAAGAAATATCTACACCCTCCCCCCTTATTCACTTGTCTTCCAGTTTTTCCTCAATATTCATTAAATACTCCCAGGTGACTCCCCTCCCTTCTACTGTCCTTTCATCCATCTTTCTTATTTTGAGACATGTTTTTCCAAGCCCAGGCCAGCCTAGAACTGCTATGTGGCCCAGTTGTCTTCCCACATGTACCATTATGATAGGCTCCAAGTGACAGTTTTTGAGCACTACACTAATGTACAATCATTGATGACAAGAAAAATTGTCTACCATCTTTGGCAGGATACAAATAATCTAGCTCAATTAAGTTGCCGCTGCCTTCTTTTAGTCTGTGGGATAATTAGTTCGTTATTGTTCTGCCACTCATCTATCTGTGTGTATATGAATCCAGGCAGATGCGCAGTATCATAAGATAAATCTAATTAAGGCTATGTTGTTAGATGAAACTTCATCAGCACCAAATCTACCTTGCTCTTTAAAACTTAACACCAGTGTAATTTTACTGCATTTATTTATTTACCTTATGTGTATATGTATGTGTATGTTGTATATGTATTTGAGTATGTGCATATCATGGCACACATGTGGAGACCAGAGGACAACTTTCAAGGGTTAGTTTTCTTCTTGCACCATCTGGGTTTCAGGGTCTGTGGTGGTTTGAAAAAAAATGGCCCCCAAAGGGAGGGGGCCTATTAGGAGTTGTGGCTTTTTTGGAACGGATAAAGCTTTGTTGGTATGGTATATTTGTAGATAATGTTCTTGTTGGCGGAAATGCATCACTGTGGAGGCCAGCTTTGAGGGTTCATATATGCTCAAGCCATGCTCAATGAGACAGTCCACGTCCTGTTGCCTCCTGATGAAGATGTAGTCAGCACCATGTCTGCCGGCACACTACCATGCTCCCAGCCATGATGATAATGAACTGAACTTCTGAACTGTAAGCCAATACCTCATTTAAGTGTTTTCCCTTATAAGAGTTGCGGTGGTCATGGTATCACTTCACAGCAATAGAAACCTTAACTAAGGCCGGGTGGTGGTAGTAGACACCCTTAATCCCAGCATTGGGGATGAAGAGGCAGGGGGATATCTGTGAGTTCGATGCTAGCCTGGTCTACAAAGCAAGTTCCAGGACAGCCAGAACTGTTACACAGAGAGACCCTGTCTTTAAAAACAAAACAAACAAAACAAAATTTAAAAAATAAAAATAAAAAAAGAAAAGAAAGAAACCCTAAGACAAAAATCAAACTCAGGTCCCCAGGCTTGGTAGCAAGTGCTACCTTGACCTCTGAGCCAACTCACTGGTTTCACCAGTATAATTTTTTGTTTGTTTATTTATTTTGTTTTTGTTTTTTGAGACAGGGTTTCTGTGTTGCTTTGGAGGCTGTCATGGAACTAGTTCTTGTAGACCGGGCTGGTCTTGAACTCACAGAGTATAATTTTTTTTTTTTGATGCAAACTGCACGAGGCTTTATTGTAGTTGTTTAACGAGCTAACCCCATGCTAGCTTGGGTCTTTCATCCACCCACCATGGCGGATGGCTAAAAAGACGGCTCGAAGTGTCTGCATAGAGATTAATTTTTAAAAGCAAACTTTTTGTGGTTAAAAACTCAATGTTGAGAAGATTACTTAATGCAAGTTTTTCAAGATTTTCCTGGGACATGTGAACTTGGGAGACAGCTCAGTAGTTACAAGTAGATGCCGTTCTCTGAGGACCCAAGTTAGGTTTCCAGTACCCATGTGGGCTCACAACTGCCTGTAACTTTAGCTCCAGGGGAATCAGATCTGCCCTTTGAGGACACCTACATTCAAATTTACATACTTACATGGGGATACAAGTATACATAATTAAAAAAAAAATAGAGCCTGGACAAGGATGACACCAGCAGACAGGCAAATGTGGGAGGGGACAGCTAACGTTTAACCCTAGACAAAGAATTACAGGCAACTAAAGAATGCTGAGTGGGAGAAGCGGTATTCCCTAGAAAAACCATTCCAAGTTGTCAGCCCAGAAAACAAACACACAAGCAATATTACACAGATTGAGCAGGTTGCGCAAGTGCGCGCGCGCGCGCACGCACACACACACACACACACACACACACACACACACACACACACACACACACACACCAACATCAACAATTAAAGAAAAAAAGACCCTGGGTTTGAAAGAGACTAAGGTCAGGGGATACATTGGAGGGCTTAGAGAGAAGAAAGGGAAATGATGTAATTGTATTAATGGATCTTTCAAAAATTACTGGGATATAATACAAATAAACTGAACTGAGCAGTGGGATTAAACTGGGATTAAACACTTTTAATCCCAGCACTCGGGAGGCAGAGGCAGGTGGATCTCTGTGAGTTTGAGGCCAGTCTGGTCTACAGAGTGAGCTCCAAGACAGCCAGGGCTACACAGAGAAACCCTGTCTCAAAACAACCAAACACACAAACAAACAAACAAAACAAATTACCCGCATGACCTCATTAAATCACCAAGATATTTAGAGTTACGTTATTTCAGTGAATACTTGTGTTTACAAATTAAAAAATGAGTTACCACCCAAAAAGGAAAATTCAATGATGAAATATCTGCATATGTGTATATATGAACACACACAACACACACACACACACACACACACACACACACACACACACACATCAGATCTAATAGTACCAGCCTCAAGTGTACACAGAGACTGAGATGTTCAATTAAGCCCAGGAGGACTCCAATGGATAATGATAGGTAGGAGTGACATTTTGGAATAGAGGCATGCTCTTCATCAAAGGCTATTACACTTTTGAAAAATAGTTCGTAGCTCCTAACCTGGGTTTGAAAGAGACTAAATGCCCATCTGTAGAACACCAAATGACTGTGGGACTTGAATGCTCCCTGTGAGCAGGGTATTCTTGGATGCACCAGGCTTGAGCTTTTGTTGTCACCCCCCACCCCGAGAGAGAGAGAGAGAGAGAGAGAGAGAGAGAGAGAGAGAGATCAAGCTAGCACCAGTCTGCTCCACTCTTTGGAGAACTTAAAGCTAAATAGGAAAGGGAAACTCTCCTATTTTGAAAGCTTCTAGTGGTTCAATTCAGTGTCCACTGTTTCTAGAAGATAGATGTGGCTCAAGATCCACAGCAATTCATTAGCACAGGCTAAGGGTTTGTCATGTTGAAAAAAAAAAAAAACAATAATCACCATCTACTTATAAAAAGGTTTGAGGGGCATGTTGATGAACATGTAATTAACAATAATGAACTTTTGTAGCTTATATGAAAGCCTATCATAAGGCTCATCCATAGAGGAATTCTTGATAATTTGAAAAACAAAATATCCTGTCCTGTCTTTAC